TTTTTAAAACTTCTTTTATTAAGCCCATCCAAACGGGCCCTTAGTATGTCAAATTTTAAAAAAGGAGGAGGATGAGGAAGTGGAGGACGAAGAAGATACAAAAGCAGAGGGCTACGATGCCCTTTTTTGGACATGCTATTTTCGATAAAACCTCCAACTCAAATAAATCATATAAAATAATCAAACATATTAAATATTAGAGTCAAAGAAACCTAGCAAAAAATAAAAAAATAAAAAAAAGTAACAAGAGCAACAAAATAATAATAACACTAGATTACTACTAACCTTTATTAATAGTCACATTAATATAGCTAGTTCCCACATACAACATAAAACTCAATTAGTATCTGATCATGAATTATCCTAAACACTATGCTAATTGTTAACAATGAGATTGAAGCTCCTAAACCCCTCCTTGCCAAAAGGATTCTTTCTTGCGCGTGAGATACATACGATACGAATAATAATTATTTTATACGAACAAACAATAAATTATTTTAACCAGTGAACATACATTAATTATTATTTTTAATTTTTGAGACTTCTGATTAAGTTGGAGAACAAGCGTGTTGGATTCGAGCATTTGGTGTGGAGGATTGTTTCTCCAAGATTGATTCTTCCTTTGATCCATTCTCTGCCTTTTCAATATCTTCAATATTTGAAGTTTTCATAATTTGTTCTTTAGATTTTCCCCAAAGTACACAGTATAGACCACCAACCAACAATATCCCTCCTAAAATGCTGCAAGAAATGAAACATAAAAAAAAGTGCATCAATAACTAATTTTAGAGTACGTTTGAGTTAGCTGATCGTAAATAATTGATAAAGTATTAAAATTATATATGTTTGAATTAGCTAATCGTAAATAATTGATAGAGTGTGAAGTGTTGAAATCAATTTATAAATAAATTATTATGTGCATTCAATAAAGTGATGAAACTGGTAATAAATAGTTGACACGTTTGATTAAAAAAATGAGATAAGTTGTTCTTATAATAAAAAAAAAAGATAGAACAACAAATAAGTTTGAAATTTTTTTAAGTCGATTTGACTAGCTTATAAGCTTACTTATTACCGTTTTACAAAATTTGACCAACTTAATTTTTATATTAATATACATATATTCTAAAAAAAGAAAGTAAGAATATTACCTTCCCAAACTAATGATCTCTCCAAAAAACACAGCAGAAGAAGCAATTGTAAAAATTAAGGCCAAAGGTGTAGTCATAGCCATATAAACTGGGCCTTTCTTTTCAACAACCCAAGCTTGTAAATAAAATGTAACTCCAGTCACAATTATTCCCTGCCAAAAGAAATAAAATTAAGCAAATTTAATTTAAAAAATAATACCTATAAGAATTCTAACTAATTAAGACTACCATTAAAAAAAAAAAGTCATGGATGACAAAAGTATTATCTAAAGTGTTACAAGAAAATGACAATCTTTTGTGCTAAACAGCAAAGTATTGCTATCAAAGGTTCATTTTATTTTTCAAAATACTCCAAAGATATTATCCTCTATGTTCCAGTTTATATGACAAGTTTCATTTTTTTGTGATTTAAATTATATAAATTTTAATCAATAAAGTATATACTCTTTACGTACATTTAAGAAATGTCTTGTTTTTTCCTTTTAATATGTTTGAAAAAGAATAACTCTTTTTTAAAAAAGAATATATATTTTAATTTCAATTTTTCACGTGTTATGTTAACAACACAAGTTTAAAAGGTATTTTGATATAGCTTTAATTTAAAATTACAAAATTAAAAAATCTTCTTTATATTCTTAATTTCCGTATCAAATCAGATTGTCATTTTTTTAAAACGATGAAAGTATTTTTTTTTATTTTATCATATTGACATGGGAATAATCGTAATTTATAATATTTATGGTATAATTTTTTGTAAAATTAAGTTAATACAAATCGATTTAACTTTAATAATTAATCAAGTTAATTTCCGAAATACGATGAGTGTTACATTAAAATACCTCTTTCTTGTGATAATACAACATTGTCTAGTTAACATGCTAATAATGGGACTATCTTTTATTTCTTCCTCTTTATCTTTTTTAAAAACTTTTATACTTGCTTTGTATCCTTTCATTTATTATCACTTTTAATTATCTTTTAAAGTATGGAAAACATAAAATGATAAAGTTAGGCAAAAAAATAAAAATAATAATAATAGACTTACACAATAGGCAACAGAGAGGAGTCTAACATTCCATCCAAGTCTCCATTCAGAAGGATCTCTTGCTAAAGCTATGGCAAAAACAAATGATTGAATACTACTCATGAAGCATTGTAGAGTTGTACATAGTAGCTTTGATGGGTAACTCTTGAGAACTTGGTTCTACAAAAGAAACAATTCATTAACTATCAGTATTTCAGGTCGAAAAACTCTATAAGAGAGTGATGATTTTATCAATGATATCAGTATCATGAAAGTGACTCGACTTTATATAAACATATCATGAAAGTTACCAAAATATACTATTTCTTAAAAGCTAAAAAATCACTCAATTAGTTCTGCTTTATGTAATTCTATTTCCTTTTTAATTTGTTTCAAATTAAAAAAAAATTAGATCTTTTTCTAATATTGAAATAATTTAACGAAGTGATATTATGATATATTTAAATGATATAAGTAATATTATGATAAGAACACGAGCGGATATAGGATTTGAATGTTATAATATGTTTTGGACTCTAGGGCATGAACCTCGATCAAGTGTTAAGAACTAGGTTTGAATTTTTATTAATCAATTTCTTAGTAGATATATAGGATTTAGGCTAAAATTACTAGGTTATACCAGATACATAGGTTAAAGTCTACTTATGTATTATAGACAATTTTTTATATGGTACATTCTTTATCATAAAGTTAAAAGAAACAATATTCTTTTCTTTCAAATAGTATAAATACTATGTATACATGTTATTTCTATGTTCAATTACTACATTAAAAATAATTTTTAGCGATAAATAGCTTAATTGGCGCTAAATATATGTTTTTAGAGGCAATTAATGCTCTTTGTAAATGTCTCTAAAACCTATATATAGTTGCATTAGATTTAATAATAATAAACTTGTTGTTAATGTGTATATTTTTTATATCGTTATCGTAGTAAATGAATCACTACACATGAAATAAAATAATATAAACACAAGATACCTGCATGACAAGCCATGTAGCCCATAATGCATTAGCAAGCAACATAAGGAAGACACCTTTGATCCATGTATTGCCAGAAGCAGCACTGTTTTGCACTTGACCATGATAGCTAAATAGATGATGATGCATCAAAAGTTTCATTGTTGGACCCTTAAAAAATGCTATTGTTAATGCTCCTCCTGCACAAAACACTATCCCCATAACCTTTGCTATCCCTCCCCATGTCCTCATCTTCACACTCTCCATCCTGCGTTTTATATTTATGTTAATGTCATCGACCAAAAATATAACATTACTATACACAAAATTGATATGGATGGGCACCACTTGGATAAGAAACATATGTGAGTGGACTACTTTATTATTTCACTAAAACAAGGATGTACTATATAGTCTGTCTAGTTAAAGCAACAAAAAAGAAAGGCCGAAGTGAAAATTTTATTCCAACATGGTGTGAAATAGAGAATTCTTGCACAACCCCTCCATGCTACTTGTTGTTATTAGATTCTATTTGTGTGCCAAAAGTAGTCAAAATCTCCCATATAGAACCCCTCCACCCCATCTTTTTAAAGCCTATTTTGGGTAAGTGAGTTTACTTTCTCTTTGGCTAATTAGCTAAAAGGTCAAGTTTTGTTCAAAGATTCCCTACAATTAAATGTTTTCTCTTTACCTTATTATGCTCAACTTTTAGTACAAAATTCCAAATCTATATGATTAAAGATGGCCAGGTACAAAATGGGAGCTTCCATCCAAATAGGGAATTTGGGGAAATGGAGAGAAAAAGTAATGGAGAGGAGCCTCATCCAGTTAGAGGTAGTGGGGATTTAATTTAATATGAAATCTCACTTGTATAACTTATTTTTTCTGTTTTTACTAGAAAATCTCATTTTTCTCATTTTAAAGAAATTTATTTTTTTGAAGTAACTTTTTCAAAACCAATCGAACATATACCGAACACACCCTAAGAAACTTTAACTTTATTAAATTGAATACTTGTCATGACATTTTATGTGAGAGACATAATTCATGAAGTTATCAAATTGTACAATGTATCATACACCTTGAATAATGTAATATCTTTCCTTTTTTTTACTTTTATTATAACTTTTAAGATGACTTCATATCCATGTTATTCTTATACTTGTTTTTATATACATAATATAAATAAAAAAATCATGTTATTTTCTTCCTCTACTTAAAGGCAAGTAATAATTGTTATTAAGCCCAAATATTCTTGTTAAATCATACCTGAATTATTTGTTGTATGATGATCTAAAGATTGAAATAAATATAAGTAAACAAGCACAAAGAAAAAGTATAATGTCTCTCATCATCATCATTATTATTATTATTATTTCATATTGATTAGCATAAAATATACTTATCCTAGCTAACACTCCCTTTCTGCAAAGTATATTCTTGAAACCACTACTTAAATAGATTATATTACATATACACTATGTATTTAGTGTATACTGTCTTCCATTATATATATATATATATATATATATATATATATATATATATATATATATATATATACTA